TCCTCTTTTATGAGACCTGTTACAAGCCTCGGCAGTGTTGGTACTCTGAATCAGCAGGTGGACAACTCTTACAGCTGCAGCTAAGGTGATAATATTTGGTGAATGAGTTCTGAGGACACTGACAGAGTCCCTAATTCTCCTGGTGTGTGAAAAAATCGGAACATATGGTATTTGACGTGCCAAAACTGTCAGTCTCATAATTAACTGATAAGGGTACATATGGTAAGTACAGACAGTATAAATCTCTCAATGTAAAAAATGCTGGGGGCTATTGAAGGTGTCAGTGTGAATCTTCCCTGCAAATCTCTCTTCATTAATGTTTCATATGGAGCCAAATGCGTTGTAATAGAATAGCTATTAATGCACTTATATTTATGATGATTTCACTTTGTGCAGCTAGAGACAACCTTTCAAATCCTAAATTCAAAGTTAGAGTTCAGTAACCACAATGACTTCAGCTGTTTCTATGTTTTCCCCCTTTTACACAGACACTGTACCCCACAGAGGGATACTGAGGAAAATAAACTATCAAGGTAGTTCGGCACATTACCCACAAGGCTGATGACAAATATTCTACTGTCAAAATGAAAATCAGAAGTTGACTACAGGATCACAGCTTTTGACATGATCCAATTCACCTGGTTTCATCATGTGCTCCAATTCTCTTTCCTATTAAAACAAAGCTGAAAATATATAGTTTGTAATAAGGTATGACCTGAACTATGAGGAGGGCTTGGGTAGGGGCCCAAATCGTGGCACTCTTTTGAGCCCATCCTAGTCAGAACTTAGCCCAGTTAAAAGTGGCCCTATTTCCAAAAAGTTTATTCTGAGTAAGTGCCCAGCCCTGGGATATCACGAGCCCCATAAAAATGTTGTCTGGACTGTGCAACACCACTACTCTTCAGATGATGAGCAAGTAAGTGGGAATGAACTGAATTTTCAGCTCCTTGGGGCAGAGACACCGCCTTTGTTACTTCGAATCAGTCAGTCAGTTCTATCGCCCATTTATACAATACATTTTGTTAAATTGAATTGACAGATAATATAATGGCAAATTATCAATGCATAAAGATACATGGGGTGTCTTTATGGGTCTTAAAATTCTCCATCTAGTATTACAACAGAAAGGTCACTGGAGTTAGAACGATGGAGCCACGCAAAATTCCTCTTAAAAAAAAGTGGTTGAAAGCTGTTTAACCAAGAGTTATTTCATCCCAAGGTTTGGGAAATTCAAGATTCAAAGAGGCAAGATGATGAAAAAATTACAGTGAGATGAACTGGTAATTATATCAATAAGGTCATAATCCCACATTTAGAATAAATGGTAAAAAAAAAACAAAAAAAAACAGAAGCAAAGTAGGAAAAATATAAGGAGAAGTGAAGTATGAAGCAAGGGAGGGAAAAAAAAAACCCGAAACTGATTGCTGTCTCATCTTTCTGCAGAATTAGCCAATAATAAATGCACATAAGGCTATAAAGTATGAAGAACAAACACCTCTGATCACATATTAACAAGCCCAGTAATTCACTGCATCAGCACAAGCTGTCTGTGTTATCAACCCTTAGCCAGGCCCCAATTTCCCTTTTAGTCGCAAAATGAAGCATTTCAAAAAATTCAACATTTATTAAGTACCTATTATGTGCAGAAAACTGTCCATGATTTCTTCTGTTCCTCTTTAAGATAAGGCTGGATGATTTAACATCACTTTTGCAGCACACAAAAACACATCTCTCAAAATCACAGACTTCTTCACCTGTCTTCAAGACATGTGCCATCAAAAAAAGAGGCTCACATTTGAGAGGCAGCCAGATGCAGTGGAAAGAATACTCTTCTCTTGAGCCCCTGAAACACTGAAATCAACTTTCTCTCCATCATCAGACAACCTCTATGTCTTGATCTACAACTATCCTCCTGGAGAAGAGTAGAGCTAATTCTTGCGGTAGGATGGCAGAACAACAACACAGAAAAACTAAATCTGCACACTATCCTAAACATCCTAAACAGAACCATCACTTTTAGAATCTCTGGCTAAAAGAAAGACAGAGGAGGGAAAAGGAAAGATCAAAAGACTGAGATGAACCATTACTTGATCAGTTCAGGAACAACTTAGAACTTTCTACCCATCCTTTCCCCCATTTGCCTCAACAGAAAATCTTCATTCTCTATTGGCTTCCTGACCTTTTGCTGAAAACACACTCAGGTCTCTCTCACACTTAACAACCCCCCCCCCCCAAAAAAACATCTTTCACTGATCCTAACATGCTACTCTCTTTCCACCTTCTTCCCTTCTTCAAACATCTGGACAGAATAATCACTGTCTCCACTTCCATGGCCTCCCCAGCCCCTTGGCAAAGGGAGCTAACCACTCTACTGAAATGGCTTTCCTCAAGATCCTTACTGATCTATAAAGGTCTTTTTCAGTCACTATTATCCTTGACTTCCCTGAAGGATTGCACAGTGTGGACCACTCCTTCCTTCTTCTTCTTTTTTTTGGGGGGGGGGGTGTGTGTGTTGGGCAATGGGGTTAAGTCACTTGCCCAGGGTCACACAGCTAGTAAGTGTTATGTGTCTGGGGCCAGGTCCTCCTGAATCCAGGGCCAGTGCTCTGTCCACTAAGCCAACTAGCTGCCCCCACACCCCTTCCTTCTTGATACTGTCTTCTCCTTTGACCTCTGTGACACCAAACTTACCTAGTATCTTCTCTCTCCACTGTTGGTTCTCCTTTCCCCGCCACCCGTACCCCCGGACTATATATTGAATGTACCAGAAGGCCATGTCCCTTGACCTTCTGTGCTCTTCCTACACTCTCTTCTTTTGCAATCTCATCCTCTTCCAGGTTTCAGTAACTAATTACTTCCGAAAGTTAGTCAAATTTATATTTCCAAACCTGATACCTCCTCTAGTTTTAGACCTCCATTTCCAAATGTCTACTAGATATTTTCAGCTGGATATCCCAATAACATCTTAAATTCAAGATAACATTGACCTCACAGGTCTCATTACACGTCCAAAACTGAATGTATCATCTTCCCTCTCCCCAATCAATCCTGCCCTCCTCCCAACTCTCCTCTTTCTACTTAACATACCATCATTTCTCTCAGTTTCCAAAACTCAAACTGTCTAGGTCATTTTGGGGGGTTTTTTGGCTCTCATTTCCCACATTAAATCTGTTGCCAAGTCCTGTTGATTGTATTGATATTTCTTAAAGATGTCCCCTCCTTACTACTCCCACTTCTGCCACTCTGGTTCAGCAACACCATTTCCTATTACTGTCAGCTTCCTTCCAACTGCTATTGCTATAGGCTTCTGCTCCTAACTGGTCTACATTCCAAACTGCTTTTCACATTTGTCCAGCATAATTTTGCTTATTCACTGTTCTGAAAACATCACTTCCTTTCTCAAAAGTAGAAACTTGTTATCACAGCATTCAAGATCTCCTCCTTCATAGCACTGTTCCAACCTACTGAGACTAATCTCACATGACTCTTTCCCATGCTCTATATTCAAGCCAATTGGATTATTCCCTATCTCCTATTTTCATGATGGCCTCTCCCATCTCTACTTTTGCTACACTACCGTCCGCGCCAAGGACAGACTCTACTACCCACCCTCCCATTCCCATTTCTGCCTACTGAAATCTTGCCCCACCTTCAAGGTCCAATTCATGTCATCTACAATGGCTTATCTGATCACATCACTCAGAAATTATTTGTCCTTCCTCAATCCTTGAAAAGTACTTTCACAGACTCCCTCCTTTGCATTTATTGTATGTTATGTTAATAGTTATTTATGTACATGTCTTATTACTCCAGTTTGAGGATGAGAATTTTATCTTACTATAGCTTTGTGTAAAACAGTAGTTCAGTTGCATATACCTTGCACATAGTAGGCACTTAAATGTTTGTTAAATTTCACTGAATTAAAATAAAGCTATTTCTTATCCTGACTGCCATTCACACATTTGGAAGTATGGTCCTTCTCTTCAGCACTGCATCTACACTTTGCCCTATGAAGGACTGTCAATGCTATCTAGTACACCCTTGGCAATCTAGCTCCAGGGTCTGGCCAAAGATGTAGAGAAGTTAGACTCCCTATTCTTATGATTTCTCTATCATTTCACTTTTGTCAATCAATACCTTGACCAGAAGCTAGGTGAATACTGAGAGAAAAGAGAACATATGAAGCATTTTCAGTTTTGATAAGAAGTGTTGACAAGACATTGTATGACAAAGAGATATAAATTTATGAATTAAAAATTACCTTGATGCACTAATGTATTTTTATTCTAATAGCTTTAATTTTAATATTTTAATTTAATTTTAATAATTTAATAGATTTTATTCTAACAGTTTTAATTATAGTGCTTGTTTGTTGGAACAAAAACTTGTATACAAAATGGTCAACTGACTATGTTGAAATTTTGTATTATTATTAATATTGAATTATATATTGAAAGCAGTAAGAGTTTCTACAACACCAAACAAATCAGTTCTGAGCTTTTCCTGAGACAAAAGTTTAACAGCTCCAGCTTCTTCAGAGTTTATCAAAATTTAAAAGAAAAAAAAAGTAAAGTTTTTTTTTTTTTAAAAGATGGCAAATCTGACCCTTGCAGTAAAGAGAGGTAGTAAAGGACATTTCACACATATACTGAAAGGGGGATTGTTTCAAAACAGGACCAAATACTTCTAGAATGGAATGACTCCCCAAGCTCTCATGCTCAATTTATTTTCTTTCCAAACCTAGACACCATAGAGAAATGCCTGGTGTTCTTAACTGGACTTGATGCAGGATTCACTCACTGGCTAAATTATCTTCTCAGGTCATACTGAAAAAGAATTTGGGGCCTTTTAGAATACAAGACAAAGATATAAAATACAAAGTGCTTTTCAGTGGCAGTAAGTCTATCAACTATGCCAAGAACCAGGACAAATGGGTACAGTCATCCTTATTCATTGAAGAAGCCCATGTACAGTGTAGGCCAACTCTAAGGCTCACTTACCTCCATTTCAGCATAATTAGCATGCAAATTCTGCACCATCTCCTCATGGACTTGGAGGGCCAACTGGGGAGAATTCTCTAATGGGGACATATCATTTTCAAAGGAGTCCAAGATAGATCTCATTACGTCTCGCTCCTGTAGGCAGAGAAAAACAAATGGATTTGAATCCTATTACTGTCATTGTTAAAAGGCTGTTGTGGAACTATAAGAGATAAACTGGTGTGGTGGATAAAGTGCTGGATATGGAGTCAAGATGACCTGGATTTGACAGTTATAAGACTGGGGGAAGTTATTTAACTTCTCTGAACCTCAGGCAACCCTCTGAAGAAAGTACCTAGAATGCAGAGGCAAAACATTTGGAAAAGACCCTGGAGGAAAACATGGAAAGGACATTGCGGCAAAGTCCTAGGAAGAAAGTTTGGGCAGGAATGGTACAAAATGATCCCAAGGGAAGTGGATTTGGAAGTAAATAATACAAATGTCTAGAAAGAGCAGAAAATAGTGATCTATGTGAATAGGATTGACAATAAGAAGGTAGATTCTATCTAGTGCTTATCTTCCAAAGGGGTTGGAGAAATCCTTTCAAACCCCACCAGCCCTTTTGATTTATGGAATGATAGACCCCACCAATTAAAAGCAGTGATATCTGAAAAAACTGTGGTCCATACCAAATTTCTTTTGATTTCCTAAAGTTATTTGGAACATTCCATTCTTTCACTTGCAGTTTCTAAGAGCTATAATCAATATCAATGAAGAGCCAAAATATGACTATAGGAGAGGAAAACCCTTATCCCAAAATTATTGAGCCAATGAATCAGCAGTCAAGATATAGGGAGAACAAAACATAGGTTCAGAATTATGTACAAAAGGCCTTGGGAGCAAAAGAATAATTTCTACAGATGATATTCAGTGTACTCCCTGGAACCCTGTGCCTACATCTTCAACTATTTTCCATTTTCTACTCTCTTACTACTACTGCTATGAACAATACCACCAGAAGTCAAGACCAGAAGGAGCTAAGCCAGTCAGTTCTGCACTCCCTGAGACCACATATCCTCATATTCACCCTGGCTATTTTATATCCCGAGTGTGCATTTACCAAGCTAACTCTCTCCCCCTTTCCATTTCTTATTCTGAGAAATATAATAAGATCAACACTATTATTGCCTTTGAAAAAAGATGGGCCAATGAACTGCTACACTGTCACACTCACCTAGATAAAACTCCTTTCCATGGACACCACTCTCCCCAACATTTGAGGTCTCTCCCCCTTTTAGAAATTTAAATTCCCAAAGATCAGGGGCTATCTGGCTTTGGTATTTGTGAACTCAGTGCTTAGCACAGTGCTTAGTCCACAGTAAGCACTTAAATCCTTCATTCCTATGAAATGAGACTAAATTAACAAGTTATTAGCATAATCTGGAGCTGAAAGAAGAAATGAAGATATCAAAATGATCTACCACTTTCAAATAAGAGTGGAGGTAGGTTTTAAGTTACCCACACAGGTATAATTTTAAAAAGGAAGAACTGCAATAAAGGGCAAAGAACTTAAATATCCTGCTGCACTAAAAAATGCACTGAGACAGGGGCTGCAATATTAGAAAAAACATGGAGTGTCATGAACAAGTGTCGTGAGAGGTCTTCAAATTCTGGAAAGGTCCGCAAATGTTCACAAACAAATGAAAGTGGCAAATTATATAATTAAAAGGGTCCTCTGGTTTACCTGGATCCTTCATTTTAGAGCAGGTTATCCTAAGAGGAGCAATGTTTTTATCAGATCTTTGACAATAGCAAACGTATTAATTCATAAGCAATCCCTCCCTCAAGGTAAAAGTTCCTTCTCATACACAACAAAAGTTCACTGCAGGAAGGTATGACAAAAGTATGGGGAAAAAAAACATGAAAGTATGACAAAATCATCACTCTACTATCAGCCCTGTTCAATAGGCCATGCTGACTCACTCTTTCAACTGAGCTCACAAGTTGAAATCAAAAAGTTATCTTCACTCCTGCTATCAGAATCTTACAGTTGAGTCACTGATGAGGGCTTGAGACTTTTGAAGGTAATGGACTAGCGGTCCAAATCAAGCACCATTTCTTCTTATGACTGAAGATAAAGCTCACCATCAGGTCTGCAGTTCATTACAGCCTACAATACTTACAGGGCTAGCTACAACATCCCAAACCCTAGCAGAGGAAGAACAGGCCAGAGCAAATAAAACCAAAGCCTGGCACAATGGTGCCTCTGCCCACTGGGGAGCTCAACTCAGCACTTCGTACTGTCCTCCTCCAATAGGCACATCAAAGGAGAAGCAGGGCAATTCATCCTCACGTCCTCCCTAGGGCCTTCCCTCAACTTTCCACCCACCCACCACAAACACACCGGTCCTTGTTCTCCATCGTCACCTCCAAGCCTGTCCTTCATCCTGGATCCTTCAGCAAACTGTACTCCTTTGAAGTGCAATAAATTAAAACTTTCTACTTTATTCAGATCATGACAGGGGATGTACATAACACTCTTAAGTCCTCCTTCCACGCTCGAGGACTTCAGCACCTGGCTCACAAATTTTCTCTCCTCTTCAACTCCTGTTCAAATCCCAAGCAACTTCAACATCCATGTTGACAATCCTTTCAATTCCCTAACCTCCCAAATTCTCAGTTCCTTTCAATCCTTGGATCTCACCATTACCCACCATCCCACAACACTTTCTTAGGCCATTACCCCCGTTTTGGTTTTAGTGTCCTACCTCTCCAATTCTTACCCTACACTTAACCACTTCACCTTGACACTGTAATCTACCTTGATTCCCTTATCCCCTTACAGAGCAGTGATAGAAATCACCACTCATTCCTCGTAAAACCTCAGTTCTGGATTCACAGAACCATGCTGATTAAGTACATTATACATCTGGGTTACACAATGGGTTTGTATTACAGAAGGACAGTCCTTTTACTTTTCCATAAAGTTACTTCCCCTGTCTCATTCTCCCCAGAGATCATTCCAAAACCACTCCTCAAATCCTCCCATTCTGCTATTTGCTCATCTTATGATCTCACTTCTTATTTTACTGAGAAAATGGAGGTCATTCACCTTCTGTTCTCTTTCCTCCCCTTCTCTTTCTCCTCAAAATTCTTCTCTCTTAGTTAATCTCTATTGAGAAAGTCCTTTACTTAGCTAAGGACAACTTCTCTACATGTAGTATTGATGGCAACCCCTCAGATGTTTCCAAACCCCCCCCACAATCCATACCTAGCCCCTCATTGAATGTGTTCCCATGATACTATCCTGGGCACCCTTCTCTCCATTCCACCTTTCTTGGTAACCACACAAACTCCCATTAGTTTAATTATCATCCCTATAAAGATGACTCCCAGATCTATAAACCCAGCCCTATACTCTTCTGGGACAGCTAGGTGGTACAGTGGATAATGTGCTGAATCTAGAGTCAGAAAGACTCATCTTTCTGAGTACAAATCTGGCCTCAGACTAGCTGTGTGATCTGGGGTAAGTCACTTAATCCTTTTTGTCTCAGTTCCTCAATTGTAAAATCAGAAGGAAATGGCAAACCACTCCTGTATCTTTGCCAAGAAAACCTCAAATAGGGTCATGAAGAGTCAGACACAACTGAAAAACAAATGAACAACAGACTCTCCCCAGAGGTTTGGCCCTGCATCACCAATTGCCTATTGGATATTTCAAGATGGATATCCTGGAAATATCTCAAACTCAACCTTTCTGCTAAAACCCTCTCCTATTTCAAACTTCATGAATCCTGCTGAAGGCACCACCATTCTTCCAGTGTCCAAAGATCATAATCTGTATCCAATTTCTCTCTACTCACACAGACACTATGGTAGCTCAGACTTTCATCATCTCTTGCCTAAATTATTGTGACATCCTCTTAATTGCTAGCCCTACCTCATGTCCCTCCCCACTCTAGCTCATATTAAATAGTGTTGCCAAATCAACACTGTTGATTTTTTCTTAACATTAGAACTGATCACATCACTTTCCTACTTAATAATGTCCTATGGTGTCTCCTATTGCCTCTAGGATGAAATATTAACTCTGTTTGGTTTTTAAAGACCTTCACCATCTGACCCTAACTATCTTTACAGACCCATTGACATTACAGACCCAGTGAAATCCTACAATCTGCAACCCAGACAAATTGACCGTCTCTCCATTCCCTACATGTAACATGCCATCCCCCACACCTTAATACAATACCATTTATCCCTCCATCTTGGGGAATCATCTCTTCCTTCAAGACTCAGCTCACTCACGAGCTTCTATATGAAGTCTTTCCTGATTTTCTCAACTGTTAGTTATCTCCTTCTCAAAGTACTTCATAGGGTAAGACAGATTTCCATACTCTATTGAGTGTGTATGTTATTCCCTCCTTAACTCAAATCCTATGAGAATTAGATTCACTCATTCCCTCTCACCTTCCCCTGTTTCCCCTCCACTATAAGAGCCTTTTCTTTTGTTTTTTTTTTTGGTGAGATAATTTACCCCGTTCTACCTCTCCCTTTCTCCTTCTCCTTGTATAATCCTGTCTCACCCCTTAATTTTATTCTCTAGATATGACCCCTTCATCTTCAACTCACCCTGTGCCCTCTATCTATCTATCTATCTATCTATCTATCTATCTATCTACATACATACATATAATTTTTTCCCTTCCACTACCCTAATACTGACAAAGGTCTCATGAGTTACAAATATCATCTTTACATGCAGGAATGTAAACAGTTCAACCTTAATAAGTCTCTTATGATTTCTCTTTCCTGTTTACCTCTTCATGTTCCACTTGAGTCTTATATTGGAAAGTCAAATTTTCTATTCAGCTCTGGTCTTTTCATCAAGAATGCTTGAAAGTCTCCTATTTCACTGAATGACCATTTTTTTCCCTGAAGGATTATACTCAGTTTTGCTGGGTAGGTGATTCTTGGTTGTAATCCTATCTCCTTTGCCCTCCGGAATACTATATTCCATGCCCTGCAGTCTCTTACTGTAGAAGCAGCTAAATCTTGTGTTATCCTGATTGTGTTTTCATAATACTTGAATTGTTTCTTTCTGGCTGCTTGTAATATTTTCTCCTTGATCTGGGAACTCTGGAATTTGGCTACAA